TCCTTGCTTTGAAAGAACTCACACTTTAATTAAGAGAGGCAACAGATATAAAAGAGTTCAGCTAATGAAAAGGACTGAAAATCCTAAGGGTGCAAGTTGGTTGGATGGTAAGGCCCAGGTATAAGTATTAGCAATGAAGAAATTAAAATATCTCCTTTTGCAGATGATACTATTATCTAGGAATCATAGGCAATTTATGAAACATGGAGTGTTTATCATTTCCCCCCTATCTTTCCTATCTAGTGGGTATGAAGTTGTACCTTAAGGTTGTTGAATTATATTTATCTGATCACTAGGGAATTTAAGCTTCTTTTCACATTATTAAATAACTTTCCTCCTTAGAAAAATATCTGATTATGTCCTCTGATAATTTCCCCATGGGGAAGCATACCTTATTTTGTTTCATTTCATTTTGTTATTTTTTTTTTAGATTCTGAATATCAGATTTTATCTGATAGAATTACTACAAACATTTTTTGTAGACTTTTTTTTTTGGAAATATTTGTAAAACACAAGATAGTCAACCAAAAATGTGGGGTGGCAACATGTGGTCCTCGTTAATATACTGGTGAGTATCTCCACCTATCACAAAGGAGATGGGGGTTCAATTCTCCAACAGGGAACCAAAGCATTTAAAGTGCTGGGTCTGAAGTTAAAAAGACCCATCTCCTTCCTGAGCTCAAATTTGGCCTCAATCACTTACTAGCTGTGTAACTGTGGGCAAGTCACTTAATCCTGTTTGCCTCAGTTTCCTTATCTGTAAGATGAGCTAGAAAAGGAAATGACAAACCACTCTAGTATCTTTGCCAAGAAAACCCCAAATGGGGTCACAAAGAGTTGGACAAGCCTGAAATGACTAAACAACAAATATGTGAGTATAGTAAAGTAGACGGATATGTGATAAACCCACAGAAACACCTACATTTCTGTATACTACCAATAAATATAAAAAGAAACTGATAAAGAAAAACTATTCCAAAAATGTTTCAATGGGTAACCAGCAAGGTTATTGTTCAAAATGTACTATAAATTTTAAAATGTACTAGAAAGCGATAATTATAAAGGCTGACAATAGAAAAAATGGTTAGAGAAATGAATTAATGGACAGAATGAGGAAACCTAGAATTTATGTTATTTGACAAACTCATACACTAAACCCACTGGTGAATGCAACCATTATCCAAATAAATATTACTGGGAAAATTGGATAGCTGTATGGGCAAAAAAATGGTTTGAATAGCAAATGACATTACAATAAACTCTAGTTGGATACATAGTCTAAATATTGAAAGAAAAATTAAAACTGGAAGAAAAAGTAGTAATATATTTGTTTCAGTTATGGAAAAGGATATTTCAGTCAAGCAAATAGAAGAAAACTATGTGAGACAAAATTGATGGGTTTGATTATAGAAAAATAAAAGGATTTTGCATAATAAGAAGCAATATCTATAAATTAATTAGATTGGGGAAAATGTTTGTAGTAATTCTATCATATAGAATATGACATATAGAATCTATAATGAACTGATACATAGCTCCAAGATGAATGTATATTCCCAACTGAAGCAATTGTGAAAGAAAATGAACAAATATATTTCTAAGGAGGAAATATAAACATTTACTAATAAAATGAAAAATTACTTCAAATCACTAATAATCAGATAAAAGCAAATCAACAACCTAAAGGCACAACTTCATACCCATTAAAAAGGAAAACTAGGGGGGAAAGATAAATATTCAATGTTGAGGCTGAGGGGAAAACAACCCCATAATGGTGATACACATTAGTGTAAGCTTTTTGGAGAACAATATGGTAATATGAAATATGGGTCACAAAACTGAACCTATTCTTTGATGCATTGATTCCATTGCAAGGACATTACCTGGAAAATATAATAAAAATGTCTTTTAAAAGTATCTACTTAGACAAAAAGCATACTTAGCTGACTTACAATATCCAAAATAAGAGGAAATATTCTATATTTAACGATTGGAGAGTAGTTCTATAAACATTATCAATATCCCATTAACATAATGGAATTTTGTGATACTATAAATCTATAAACATGAAAAATACACACAAATGTGAAATGATACAAGGTGAGATCAGCAGGACATGAATCTAAGTGGCGACTATTAAAATAAAAGAAAAGAACAATGTAGAACTAGAAAAAAACAATCTCAAATAGACCTCCATGGGTACACTGAACAAAATCAATTTTTTTTGGCCTACCAATTCATTTGGTTCTACTTTGTTAACTACTAACAGTTTATTTAAGATTTTATTTCTTATTTATACTATTTATGGGGGTCAGGGGAGGGTTCAAATCCAGGAAACATCACAAAGGCAGTAATTTAAAACAGAACATTGAAGTAAAAGGCAACATGGGAAATCATTCCATTAAAAGAGCTTTATTGATTGTTTTTTACCTCTCCCCCCCATTTTCATTAAATCAATAAATTAGGTTGTGAAGTAAGCTGCAGTTCAATCCTCTGCTTCTTCAACTAAAATGTGAATGATGGAAAGGGAGCACCTTAGCTAATAAAGGACTCCAGCTGGAGCAAACTTTAGAAGAAGAGATAATCAACTTTGTTCTCAGTGGAAAAAAAGCCAGATAGTGGCTTGCAGTGAGCATGGGATCAATGGAGCATGAGTAAACCACGAACTTACGAGACCCAGCAAAGGCTTGATACCATATGGGCCCAGCAGTGATGACATCTCACATCCAAACTACCAGCAGAGAGTGTATGCCTTGGGAAAGAAGGTGGGAGCAGACCCAATGAGATCAGCTCCACAACATGACCAGAAGTAGGCTTCAGTTGCTTCTCTACATCTATACCTTGGCCCACATGTTTCTTACATATATTTCTATCAACATGTATTCCTGAGGTTTATTCACTGTTTCAACTGTTGTATATTTATGGGATGATGTTCCAGAATTCTATGGAGGAGATGGTTTCTTATTACTTTTTTTTTTCCTGTAGTAATTCATGTTTTTTCACTGCTTAGCACAGTGCCTGGCACTAGTAGGTGCTTTATAAAAATTGATTGATTGATTGAAATGCCTTTGTTTTTGGTTACTCTTATCTGGTGGATTGCTATTAAAAGTAAACATTAGGGAGAAAGGGGTCATTAGTAATGATCTGATGCAGTTGTAAACCTGCAAAGTATGTTGGACCTGAGATAGCTTATTGGGATGGACCCTTGTACAAGTTTGAAGGAGAGAGAGTCACTCTAAGTGCTACTTTTATATAATTATTTGTTTTCTAAGTTGTTGTTTATCTGTTTATGTAGGTGATTGTTAAATTTATTATGTGATTATAAAAATGTGATTGAATGAATACATGGACTAAAATGGAATATTTTCTAATATTATTAGAAGTGTTAAGTATACACACAAAAGTAGTGAAAGCAGCTCTCTTTGAAAAACTGTGGAAATTCTAGAGCTCACACTCATATAGTGCTTAAAGATGTTCTGACAAAAAGGAAAATGATAACTTTTGAGAAAATGTGGGAAAATTGGAACACTAACGCATTGTTGGTGGAGTTGTGATCTGATCCAACCACTCTGGAGAGCACTTTGGAGCTATGCCCAAAGGCCTGTAAAACTGTGCATACCCTTTGATCCAGCAATACCACTGCTAGGGCTGTGTCCCAAAGAGATCAAAAAAAGGGAAAAAGACCCACATGTATAAAAATATTTATAGTAGCTCTTTTTTGTGGTGGCAAAGAATTGGAAATTGAGGGGATGCCCATCAGTAGGGGAATGACTGAAAGAGTTGTGGTATATGAATGTAATGGAATACTACTGCTCCCTAAGAAATGATGAGCAGTCAGATATCAGAAAAAAACTGGAAAGACTTACCTGAAATGATACTGAGTGAAGTGAACAGAACCAGGAAAACATTGTACATAGTAACAGCAACATTGTGTGATGACCAACTTTGATAGACTTAGCTCTTCTCAGCAATACAATGATTTAAGCCAATTCCAAAAGACTCATGATGGAAAATGCTATCCACATCCAGAGAAAGAACTATGGAGTCTGAATGCAGATTATTTCTGAAAGCATACTATTTTCTTTCTTTTTTTTTCTTTCTTGTGGTTTTTTCCTTTGGGTTCTGATTCTTCTTTCCAACATGACTGATGTGGAAATATATTTAATATGATTGTACATGTATAGCCTATATCAGATTGCATGCTGTCTTGGGGAAGGTAGAGGTGAGGGAAGGGGGGGAAATTAAAACTCAATATCTTATAAAAGTGAATGTTGAAAACTAAAAATGAATTAATTAATTTAAAAAAATGTACATGCCACTTTTCTCAAAACTACCCCAGAAGAGTCATTATCCCTACTCTATACAGCAGTAGGGTATGTGACCCCACTGGGACACATACTGTCAATGTCACCTAACTTCTCAGTGCTGTAGGCAATTTCCTAAGACTCAACTCTCTAAGACTAAGTTGCAGAGAAAATGTTGACCTACATTCATAGATAGTGTTTGCTCATCCAGGACTTGAATATACCAGTGAAATTTCCGGTCCAGTCCTTATTCCTGTGGATGAGTAAACTGAGGCTCAAGGAGATTAATTGTTTGCTCATGGCTTACAAATAGTCAGTGTCAGAGCTGTGATTAACATCTGCATCTAACAGTATGCTTTTCCTACATGCTGCCTCCCAATAATAACTCACTTTTTTTATAATGCTTTAAAAGTTTACAAAGTAGAGAGTATACTGTCATAGTTTATGATGATGAATTGACTGAGGAATTGAACTATTTCATGAATCTAAGCTCTTACCAAAGCTAACTGAATTTCAATTTTAGCAAATGCTCTTCCCACATATATACAAAGGTCCAAATATCTGCTTGATCAAGTCAACTGTTTCATGAGTGGCAATTCAATGATAGGTCTTTAGAAATTTCCATCTGAGATATAGCAATGATATGATGAAAATTCCGTGCTTCTGGCCTTGACCTTTTCCTCTGTACTTCTGCAGGTTTGTGGAACATGCCCCAAGACAGCCGCTATGTCACATTAACAGGCACTATCACTCGAGGGAAGAAGAAGGGTCAGATGGTAGACATCCATGTTACTTTAACAGAGAAGGAGCTGCAGGAGTTGACCAAGTCCAAGGAGTTAGCAAATGATGCTGCACCAGAGGGAAAGAAGGCCTGCCAAATAGCAGCAGACCAAGGTCCACATGTGGTCTTGTGGACAGTGATCTGCCTGCCTGTGATTTTTGTCCTTTCTTTCATTGTTTCTTTCTACTATGGTACAATCACTTGGTACAACATTTTTCTGGTGTACAATGAGGAAAGGACCTTTTGGCACAAGATCTCCTGCTGCCCCTGCCTCATCCTCTTTTATCCAGTCCTCATCATGGCTGTGGCCTCTTCTCTGGGCCTCTATGCTGCTGTAGCCCAGCTCTCATGGTCCTGGGGAGCATGGTGGCTGGCTGCCCGAGACATGGAGAAAGGCTTCTGTGGCTGGCTCTGTAGCAAGCTTGGCCTGGAAGACTGCTCACCCTACAGTATTGTGGAACTGCTCGAGTCTGACAATATCTCTGGCAGCCTCTCCACCAAGGATCCCACACAAGTGGAAGAAACCTCTGCTGTCTAACCACCCCATTTCCCCCTAGGCCCTTGTTCTCTTCCAGAGTGGGCCAATGGCATTACTCTTTATGTGCCATTTCAAATTTCCGAAGAGTACATGGGAATAATATCTGGATCAATGATACCTTCCTTGTTCTTCTGAGTAAACTTAGCTTTCCCCAGACATTCCATCTAATATCTGTCAACCTGCCTACTTTGGTGGCTCAATCTGGAGTTCCATGGTAGCCAGGAAAGAAGGAGATGGGGCTGGATAGTTGGGTGGAGAAAGTGTGCCAAAGCAGTCTTTCTTCCCTGCCCCATAGTGATAACATCTGGAGTAGAAAGGAAGATAATGATAATGGCTTTCTGACAGCAGCCTGAATCATGCCTCAGTTCCCAACTTGGTTACATTCTTCAAACCCAGGATAATATATGACTCAGGTGATTCTGTAGGGAAAGGGAAGTAAAGGGAGACCAAGTTCATTAAGAGAATTGGGGTGGGAGGTAGGATAGAAGGCCAAACATTTAGGAGGGGAACAACCATCACATTTCACAGAGAATGCAACAGCTAATAACTTGAAATATAAAGTTACTCTTCTAGGGCTTTGATAGTTTAGTCCCAAAGGGTGATAGTGTTGATTTTTCCTTAAGCTGCATAATACAGAAAGGGGAACTAGAGAAAGAGCAGTGTGCACTTTGTAAATAGAGGTATAGAATATAATTTGTGCAGAGGGGGTGGGTGGGTGGGAAAGCATGTGTGTAATTAACAGCATAGCTCTCTTAGGGTAAAGGTTGAAACTGTACCTGCTGGATTTACTGAACACAGTGCCATAGAAGCACACATGGCCACTTAACTGAAAAAATCAAAAACCTTCTGGGGGAGTTGAGTCAAGCTACCCTTAGAGCCAGGCAGATCCTTTCTAGCACTGAATAGTAAGTACAGTGGGGCATCTGATAGAAAACTTTAATTTGTCTTCTTGGCACTGAGGGATTAATTCCCCAAATTAATGTAATTTAGGTCATTCATTGGCCCTATAAAATGATCTACCTTTTCTTTCTCTCTTACCCAAAGATTATTTTTAATTTTAAGCCTTCCCCCTAAAAATTTAGGTGAAGCTTAGAATTGCTGGTTCCTGTCTGGAGAGGCTCAGCCTTCTTTCCTGTTCTGGATCTTGGTCTACTTGGGATAGCAGTACAGTGAAGCTAAATCTTCACTCAGGGCTTATCAGCCCTAGTTCTGGTGCTGAACCCCACACCCAAGGAGGACTGGGATATGATGGGGATTTAGGGACTTTTAAAAGTTTTAACTTTTGCTGGACATTTTTGAAGAGCAGGGGTGATAACACTGGTGCTGTTTATGCTTTTGCAGAATTTGGTTCCCTTGTGCAATAGAGACAAAGAAAATAAAAATACACATAATTTTAACATTCAGATTTTGTGTTTTTAGTACTAAGAGACTAAGTCTTAATTGCTGAGGTCCAAAAATGAAAGGTGGTATCAATATCTCATGTTTACTTTAATAGGTCTTAGATTCTATCAGAGCCCTTTCCTGCTGCCAGTGACTTGCTGGATTTAGTTTGAAATGAATTTCTTTTATTTTAAATTTATTTATTTACTTATTACCTTATTTCTTTTCTTTCCCTTATAGCTAAAGCTAACATTTCTGGTACGATATTGAATAACAGTGGTGATAAAAAGCATCCTTGTTTCACCCCTGATGTTATTGTAAATGCTTCTAGTTTATCCTCATTACATGTAATGCTTGCTGATGCTACTTATCATTTGAAAAAAAAAAACTCCATTGATTCCTATGCTCTCTAGGGTTTTTGTTTTACTTTTTTCAATCTAAGGTAGTAATGGTTTATTGTAGCATTTCTCTCCATCCTATTCCCTCCTACACACCATTTATTTTATTCTCTCTTTCCTTTCACCCTGTACCTCCTCAAAAGTGTTTTTGCTTCTGACTTCCCCCTAAATGTGCCCTCCCTTCTATCACTCCCCCCTTCTCTCTCTAATGTTTTTAATAAGAATGAATGTTGTATTTTGTCAAAAGGTTTTCTTCATCTATTAAGATAATCATGTGATTTCTGTTAATTTTGTTGTGCTGATCAACCATGGTCAATTATGCCGATAGTTTTCCTAATATTGAACCAACCCTGCATTCCCAGTATAAATCCCACTTGGTCATAGTGTATTATCCTCATGATAAGTTGCTGTAATCTCTTTGCTAATATTTTATTTAAAATTTTTGTATCAATATTCAATAGGGAAATTGGTCTATAATTTTCTTTCTCTGTTTTGACTCTTCTGGTTTAGGTATCAGCACCACATTTGTATCATAAAAAGAATTTGGTAAGATTCTTTCTTTGCCTGCTTTTCCAAATAGTTTGTATAGTATTAAATTAATTGTTCTTTAAATGTTTGGTAGAATTCACTTGTAAATACATCTGGCCCTGGAGATTTTTTCTTGGGGAGTTCATTGATGGCTTGTCCAATTTATTTTTCTGAAATGGGGTTATTTAAGTATTTTATTTCCTCTTCTTTTAATCTGAGCAATTTATATTTTTTAAAAAACCAATTTCACTTAGATTGTCAGATTTATTGGCATAGAGAAGGGCAAAATAGTTTCTAATTATTGTTTTAAATTCCTCTTCATTTGGTGGTGAATTCATCATTTTCATTTTTGATACTTGTAGTTTGGTTTTCTTCTTTCTTTTTTAATCAATTTAACCAAAGGTTTATCTATTTTCTTGTTTTTTTTTTTCATAAAATCAGCTTAGTTTTATTTATCAGTTCAATTAGTTCAATAGTTTTCTTAATTTCAATTTTATTAATCTCTCCTTTGATTTTCAGAATTTCTAATTCGGTATTTAATTGGGGATTTTCATTTGTTCTTTTTCTAGTTTTTTTTTAGTTGCATGTCCAATTCATTGGTCTCCTCTTTCTCTGTTTTGTTCATGTAAGCATTGAGAGCTACAAAATTTCCCCTAGGAGCTGCTTTTGCTGCATCCCATAAGTTTTGGTATGTTATCTCATTATTGTCATTCTCTTGGATTACGTTATTGATTGTTTCTATGATTTGTTATTTGACCATTCATTCTTTAGATTATTTAGTTTCCAATTTATTTCTTGTCTGTCTTTCCAGGGCCCTTTACTACATGTAATTTGTATTGAATCATGATCTGAAAAGGATTCATTTAATCTTTCTGCCTTTCTGCATTGGATTGTGAGGTTTTTATGCCCTAATACATGGTCAATTTTTGTGTAGGTGTCATGTATTGACAAGAAAAAGGTATATTGCTTTCTGTACCCATTCAGTTTTCTCCAGAGGTCAACCATATGTAACTTTTCTAAGATTCTATTTATCTCCTTAACTTCTTTCTTGCTTATTCTGTGGTTAGATTTATCTAGTTCAGAGAGGGAGTGGTTGAGGTCCCCCACTAGTATAGTTTTGCTGTCTATTTCTTCCTGTATCTCCCTTTACTTCTCCTTTAATAATTTGGCTCCTATATGACTTGGTGCAATGTTTTGCAATGACATTGCTTCATTATCTATGGTGCCTTTTAGCAGGATATAGTTTCCTTCTGAATCTCTTTTAATTAGATCTATTTTTGCTTATGCTTTGCCTGAGATCAGGATTACTATGCCTACTTTTTTTTTACTTCAGTTGAAGCATAATATATTTTGCTCTAGCTTTTTATCTTTACTCTGTGTGTGTCTCTCTGCTTCAAATGTGTTTCTTGTAAACAACACATTGTGGAATTATAGTTTTTAATCCACTCTTCTATCTGTTTCCATTTTATGGGAGAGTTCATCCCATTCACAGTTATAATTACTGTCTTTCTCTCTATTCTATTCCTCCCCATTTATGTTTTTCTCTCTCCTTTTTCTCTTTTCTTCCTCACCAGTATTTTGCTTCTGACCACCACCTCCCTCACTCTGCCCTCCCTTCTATCATTCCCCCTCTCTTTTCTTTCCCCTTTCCCCTACTACTTCTTCCCTCCCTTCTGTCGTCTCTTCTATCTACCCCCCTCTCTTTTCTTTCCTCTTTCCCCTCCTACTTCCTATAAGGTAAGATAGATTTTTATATCCAATTGAGTGTGTTTGTTATTTCTTCTTTGAGCCAAATCTGATGAGAGTAAGGTTCAAACAATGCTCACCTCCTTCCCTTCTTTCCCTCTACTGTAATAGGAGTTTGTGCCTCATACTGTGATGCAATTTACCCTTTTCTGTCTCCTCCTTTCCTTTTCTCCCAGTAAATCCTTTTTTCACCCCTTAATTATTGTATCATCACATCGAAGTCAACTTATACTCACACCGTCTGTGTATGTATACCCCTTCTAAATGCCATAATAAAGATTCGCTTCTCAAGAGTTGCAAGTATTGTCTTCCAATGTAGGGATGTAAACAGTTTAATCTTATTGAATAACATCTTTTTTTACCCTTCCTGTTTACCCTTTTGTGCTTCTCTTGAGTCTTGTATTTGAAGATGAAATTTTCTGTTCAGTTCTGGGGGATTTTGTTTCGTTTTTCTTTTTTGTTTTTGTTTTTATTTTTTTTTAATCAGGAATAGTTGAAAGTCCCCTATTTCATTAAATATTTATCTTTTCCCTTGAAAGATTATACTCAGTTTTGCTGGATATTTGATTCCTTGTTGTAATCTAAGAGCCTTTGTCTTCTGGAATATAATATTTCTGGCCCTCTAATCCTTTAATGTAGTAGTTGCTAAGTCCTGCATTATACTGTCTGCGGTTCCACAATATTTGAATTGCGTCTTTCTGGCTGCTTGCAGTATTTCTCCTTGACTCGATAATTCTGGAATTTTGCTACAATATTCCTTGGAGTTTTCATTTTGGGAATCTCTTTCAGGAGGTGGTCGGTGGATTCTTTCAATGACTATCTTGGCATCTGCTTCTAGGACCTCAGGGCAGTTTTCCTTGGTAATTTCTTGGAAGATCCTATCTAGGCTCTTTTTTTTTTTATCATGGCCTTCAGGTAGTCCACTAATTTTTAAATTATCTCTCCTGCATCTATTTTCCAGGTCAGTAGTTTTTTTCCAATGAGATATTTTACATTTTATTCTATTTTTTTCATTCTTTTGATTTTGTTTGAAGGATTCTTGATGACTTGTAGAGTCATTAACTTCTATTGACCCGATCCTAATTTTTAAGAAATTTTCTTCAGTTAACTTTTGTACCTCCTTTTCCATTTGTCCAATTTTACTTTTTAAGGAGTTGGTTTTTTCAGTCAATTTTTTTTTGG